TAAGGGTGCACCAGGTGTTAGGGTTCACTCTGAAAAAAACAAAGTTCAAAGTCCTCGGAGGACGATTTTCCTATCTCTCGAGGACTCTGTTTCAAACATGGCCTCCACTATAAATAAGCGTGCACCGGGTGTTAGGGTTCACTCTGAAAAAAACAATGTTCGAAGTCTTCGGAGGACGATTTTCCTACCTCTCGAAGACTTTGTTTGAGACATCGTCCCCACTATAAATAAGCGTGCACTAGGTGTCAGGGTTCACTCTGAAAAAAAACAAAATTCGAAGTCCTCGAAGGACGATTTTCCTACCTCTTGAGGACTCTGTTTTAAACATGGTCTACAGTATAAATAAGGATGCACCAGGTGTTAGGGTTCACTCTGAAAAAAAAACAAAGTTCAAAGTACTCGAGGGACGATTTTCCTATCTCTCGAGGACTCTCTTTCAGACATGGTCTCCACTACAAATAAGAGTGCACCAGGTGTTAGGGTTCACTCTGAAAAAAACAAAGTTCAAAGTCCTCGGAGGACGATTTTCCTATCTCTCGAGGGCTCTGTTTCAAACATGGCCTCCACTATAAATAAGCGTGCACCATGTGTTCGGGTTGACTCTGAAAAAAAAGCAAAGTTCGAAGTCTTCGAAGGACGACTTTCCTACCTCTCGAAGACTTTGTTTGAGACATCGTCTCCACTATAAATAGGGCTGCACCAGGGGTTAGGGTTCACTCTGAAAAAAAAGCAAAGTTCGAAGCCCTCGAAGGACGATTTTCCCACCTCTCGAGGACTCTGTTTCAAACATGATCTCCAGTATAAATAAGGGTGCACCAGGTGTTAGGGTTCACTCTGAAAAAAAAACAAAGTTCGAAGTCCTCGGAGGACGACTTTCCTATCTCTCGAGGACTCTGTTTCAGACATCGTCCCCACTATAAATAAGCGTGCACCGGGTGTTAGAGTTCACTCTGAAAAAAAAGTAAAGTTCAAAGTCCTCGGAGGACAATTTTCCTACCTCTCGAGGACTCTCTTTCAGACATAGTCTCCACTACAAATAAGGGTGCACCAGGTGTTAGGGTTCACTCTGAAAAAAAACAAAGTTCGAAGTCCTCGGAGGACGATCTTCCTACCTCTCGCGGACTCTGTTTCAAACATGGTCTCCAGTATAAATAAGGGTGCACCAGGTATTAGGGTTCACTCTGAAAAAAAACAAAGTTCGAAGTCCTAGGAGGACGATTTTTCTACCTCTCAAGGACTCTCTTTCAGGCATGATCTCCACTACAAATAAGGGTGCACCATGTGCTAGGGTTCATTCTGAAAAAAAAGAGAGTTCGATGTCCTCGGAGTACGGTTTTCCTTTGTCTGGATGACTCTTTTCGAGGCATGGTCTCCCTTACATGGTGGATACGGTATGTTTCCGGTGTATTCCGTGATGGATACGGTATGTTTCCGGTGTATTCCGTGATGGATACGGTATGTTTCGGTGTATTCCGTGATGGATACGGCATGTTTCCGGTGTATTCCGTGATGGATACGGTGTGTTCCGTGTTGGATACGTTGTGTTCCGTGATGGATACGGTATGGTTCCAGTGTATTCCATGATGGATATGGTACGTTTTCGGTGTATTCCGTAATGGATATGGTGTGTCCGATGTGTTCCGTGATGGATACGGTATGTCTCCGGTGTATCCCGTGATGGATACGGTGTGTCCGGTGTGTTCCGTGGTGGATACGGTGTGTTTCCGGTGTATTCCGTGATGGATACGATGTGTTTCTGGTGTGTTCCGTGATGGCTATGGTGTGTTTCCGGCGTGTTCCGTGATGGATACGATGGATTTTCGAACGTTTTCCGGTGAATGGAAAAGTTTTGTAATTGAGCGGTTCCTGGTACGATGACTTTCCGGCTGGAATACTGCCCCCCTTTCCAGTATTTTTCCGGTCGGTTCCGGCAGGAATTGCACGGGAATCGGCGAGAATTAGCCGGAAAATGCGCCGGTTCCTGCAGGTTCCGGTGGGATCCGTTGACTGGGATGATCGACCTGGGTAAAATCAATGATCCTAGTAGAAAGAACAATGATAGTACAGTGGCCTCGTTGCTTATTTTGTAAGGTAACAGTTTTGCTTTAATAGTCATACTTTTCTTGCTAGTTTTGTTTTTTTTTCTTGTGATTTATTAAGAGCTTTTTTTGTGATATTTCTCAAACTTTGTTTACTCTTCAGTGTAAAGGTATGCGCTTATTCTCCTCATCAATCGCATGATATTTTACCGTATAAAAACTTAAGAGAGGGTCCATGAGGTCACCACCCAAAATAATAGGGGTCGACTGCCGAAAACTTTTACTTTTTGAAATGAAGTGGCTAGTTTGAAGGTGCGTAAAAAGGTACTCGGAAACCCAGAGTTTTACGATTTTTCGACTAAGTCTTCGAGTACTTTGACGACTCACTTGTTTGATCACGAAGTATCAGGTTATCAAAACCTATAGTTTTTACTTCATTTTTGTTTGTGAGGTTTTTGATCACAAAGAATTGATCAAAGTTATTATCAAATTATGCCGATCGATAGAGCAAAAGATGCTCTACAAAACCCTATATTTCATCTATCTTACTATGTGCTTTCAATGTTGAAAAACTTCAGTATAATAGGTGAAATCGATCATTTTTTGATCTATTTTCATACTGATGTTTTTCGTTTATAGCTCTCTTATGTAGTTAGTTTTCAAGAGCCCAAGATAAACTTTATACAGTTTTGTAGAGCGTGAAAAGGCGCATCTTTTGGTAAAAAAGTAATGTCTCTAAAACGCTAGCAACATCCCTAAAAAGTCCATGACAACGTTGCTCACTACATGCATTTTTTGTTATTTTCATAAAAATCTATTCTTCAAATTTTTTAATTGAACAATCAATTATTTTTGAGGAATTGGGAATTATTTGACAGAAGCTTTAGCACGCTTTTGGAAAAGCAATCAAAGTATCATCTTCTCATTTTGTCTTCTGCTGATATCCCAACAGAAAAACAATAAACATCTAAATCAACGTATTTCTTTATGTATCATTTGCGTGTCTCAACTGAAAGATCTTCGTTTAAGTTTTGCTTGCAAATCAATGTGAAACAAAATTATTTTAAATCAATTAAATATATCTGACAATTTTTTTTTGTAGAATACTACGAACATGCGTCATCATAATATGAGCATTATGATTGTCATCTATTGTTATAGAAGTTTACATTGATTTTTTATAATTTTTTGCATCTCTTTTACATCACACTGGTTTCTATACCATAGCTATGGCTATAAAGTTCATAGATGACTTGATATTAGCAATAATTCATTAGATATCGCCTTCATGATCATAACATATTTTTTTTGTATCGTTTGAATAAATGACAAGCAAGCTTCATCGATATTGAAAGTCGATTCACTGGGCTCTAGACTGACCGAATGATGACACAGGTATCCTTATGTTTTTTTATTAAATGAATTCTGTTCAATGATGAGTTTAGGACAAATCATTGATATTGGCAAAATGTTGTATATTACATACTAAAGATATACTCAAATAGTTGACATAAAATATTGCAAGATGCCAATGTATATGATACAGCATGTGAGTTAGTTGATTCTAAGGACTAGCAATGGTTATTTATCCCATAACACGGGTCATTTCTAATATGCATCTAGCTAGTGGTGATGCAGACACGCTCATTCCACAGATAAGAATGATCAACTATGCCATAGAAATGGTTGATTGCTCCGTAGAAACTGAGTTGAGCCACAAGAATGGTCACTTATACCAAAATAAATGGTCAGTTTTACCACCACTCACGATACTTTGCACTATAGCAACAGTCACTTGTACCATGATTGTGGTACTTTGTATTATCACAACGATCACTTGCACCATAAAAATGGTCATTTGTACCACGATCCATGGTGCTTTGTACCATGAAAACGATACTTTGCACCATCACAATCGTCACTTGTACCACGACTTTGGTATTTTTTGCCATCAATGTGCTTACTTGTACCACGACTCTAGTACTTTGTACCATGATAACAGCAACGTCTACCGCGACTAATGGTACTTTCTACCATGACAATGGTTACTTGTACCACGACTATGGCACTTTGTATCACAAGAATGCTCATTTTTACCACGAAAATGATCATTTGTGCCATAGAAATGGTCATTTGTGCCATAGAAATGGTCATTTGTGCCATAGAAATGGTCAGTTGTGCCGTAAAAATGGTCATTTGTGCCATAGAAATGGTCATTGGTGCCATAGAAATGGTCAGTTGTGCCGTAAAAATGGTCATTTGTGCCATAGAAATGGTCAGTTGTGCCATGGAAATGGTCATTTGTGTCATAAAAATGGTCATTTGTACCATAGAAATGGTCATTTGTAGCATGGAAATGGTCATTTGTGCAATAGAAATGGGCATTTGTGCCATAAAAATGGTCTGTTGTGCCAAGCGTTTGTTACAAACACACAGACACAGGCGAATTACGGTTTCTAGACCCTAGCCTTCCAGTGTAGGGAATAAAAGGCTACATTAAAGAGAATAGCTGTAAGAAGGAAGGTTAAGCGAATGTTTAAGTGAAGCTAATTGGTTGACCTGTGTGTAGTATTTTAGACAAAACAGAGAGCAGAAATAGTAAATAACTCTAGAAAAAGATAAGAAAGCGCGCAAGTTGCATTCTAATAAGTAACAGGAACATATCCTGCGTTTAGTTTGAGGAGAAACCCTGTTGCGATTCATTTATATTAGTAGTCAAATCATATCACATTAGCGAGGTAATGATACGTGACAAAGTTAACTAGACTGCTGTTGTGAAAGTATTTCATCGAGAGTATGAATAGCTTTACCGAGAAGTTCATAAGCTTGAGAACTCGAAACTGCTGAATCAAAATCATTATTATCTTCATTCTCTTGCCATTGTTGATTATGATCATTGATTGAAGTGATGTTAGAATTTCCGACAGCTGTTGATAATTCGTCGGCATTTTTACGAGGTTCTTGTGTTAGTCGAGAAAAATATGACCTTTGGGAGAGAAAGTTTATAAAATAGTAAGGATAGCTTATTTCTCATATGTACTGACTTTATCTGTGAAGCAGTGAGAAATTGATCTGGTTCAAATATTAACTGGTTCTGCTTTTTAGCGGTTTGCATGTGCTGAATAAATGGAAAGAAATCATATTATTTGAACAATGTTTATCGTAAGAAGACACTTGCTTCGGCTACTTTAGTCGGATCCCATTTCTTGCCGGATTTCTCACTCTTATGATATTTTTTGTTCAAGTAGGTTTTCTGAGCAAGTGTAAATTTTAATTTTGAGTGAGGTTGAAAAAGAGCCCAACCCTTTTTGAAATTGCTTGTCGTAACCGTTGAAGTTGTTCCAGCGATGCTGGCAGCAGATAGGACTAGTTGTAGCTTTGAATTATCACTATCGAGTGCTTCCTTGCACATCATAGCCAGCTTGTCCAGAAGTCGAAAAGATGGTGTAACAGTTTTGTGGGCACCAAACGAAGATGTGCTCGGAGGCAATCTTCACGTCGAAATTGCATGACACAGTACGGTTCTGTACAATCGAAAGTGACCAACCATGAAGAATGCTCATCACGACCATTGGCAATGCCAACATCTATTGTCTCTTCGTCGACTAAAATATCATCATTGGTATCATCATTTCGAAGCTAAACTGAATAAAGAAAGAATAGAACAGTTTACACATCTTATAGATCAAGAAAGCGACAAATATCTACACCTCTTGCAAAGCTATCGTCTTGTCACTCGAAATTATCATGTCGAACACTAGTTTCAATTGGAGCAATAATATTATTAGACACATTCAATTTTGACAATTGAAATGTTTGACCAGCTCCTATCCCAAATGCTCGCCATACTGTGATGTTTATTTCTTTCTCTTCTCTTTTTGATCGATGGTTGGTTTTGTTCAATACTAGTTCGTATTGAATATTATTAGAATTCCTAATTTCCTGCCATTTTGTACTGTTTGTTACGGATGAATTGGGCACACGACATGCCGTAAGAGTCATATATCCTGTTGACTTTGCAGCCTTTACAAAGTCTGAGCTGGTGACACAATCCTTCTTTTCGTTAATAAACCGTCGAATTTTTGATTTTGTCACTGCTGCCATCCTGTTACATGGCCCCTTGCCTGACTGCGCATCAGAGAAATCAAATCGACGATTGAAAACGTCTGTGAGCTTGTACAATTGCTCTATCGCCAAAAGAGTGTCTGCCCCCTTGTAACAGCCCGTGTTTTCAGTACGAATATATGCAGTGGTAAGATTATTGCCACTTTGTTTTAGTTCTTTGAAGACCCAAGATTATCAGAAAAAGTAAATACATAGATGCAATAAATCAACAAACAGTTCAGTTGAACTTTTGTATCGATTGAATTATGCATGTCAAACTATATTTGTGTTACCTCGGTAACAAAAAGCTCTATTACTAAAAAAACAAGTGTCAACCTGATCGAACTGCTTCGATCATGTGCATGGGCGTAGCCAGGAATTCCCTAAGGAAGGGGACCAACCATGATAAAAGAAAATTTTCGCTTCGCCAAAATATAGTTCCCCGTACCCTCCTCCAGGAGATATTTCTCCGAAGGAGGGGATCGATCCTCCCTTTACCTCCCCTTGGCTACGCCGCTGGTTATGTGGGTCGAACAAAGTATGGTTTATAATACGCACACTGCTCAAAATACTGGTGACTGTTCGACCATCTTGTTTCGCGTTGTCAAAGACATGACAAAATGTACGATGTTCATATGGCCTAGTGCCATCAGAAGATGATGATGCAGAGGACGATGAAGATGAGCTGGAAGATGTCTCTGACTTGAGTCGAATAGCGTACGTTATATGCCATAGTAAGCTACATTTTCCAAAGAATTCTCTCTGAGGCTCTCGATATCTTGTTAGCAACCATTTCATGGCACAGTCACCCACGAGAAAAACGCTTGTTTCATCAAGCATGTCAGGTACAAATCTGCGAGCAACGTTTTGATGAACAGTGCGCAGAAGGTGCTTTTTCCAGTCAATGATAAGTTCAGTATTATGCTCTAACCGATATAACAACCGATGCCGGATATCGGCGTCAATGTTTGTATTCTTTTCAACAATTGTACGAAGACTAAGAAAGGTCTCAGTGAGACGCAAGCATGCGTCACATCTAAATGCAATAAATGATGAACATGTACAAGTATATTTTCATTCGTCATGCTCTTCATCATGGGCACGATCACATTTTTCTCGCCAAAGTAAGGTATCTTCATCGCTCAACGCGTATTTCGAACAATGATCAGCAACCCTGCTGTTGTCCGACACATGTGTTTTAATCCCCCTCACAAAAAAAGTCAATTTTCGTCAAAAATTTCGTAATTGAGATAAATGCATGGGAAGATAGCCCGTCTTCAGATATTCCAAAAGCGACATTGGTTTTTCTTTGGCATCTCTTTTTTGGCCAAGATTTTCGATGATTTTCATTGACCTCTTCTTGAAAAATATGCTTATTTTTAAAAAAACGAAAAATGTTTTTCGTTTTTGCTCGATTTATGATTTTTTGATTTTGTGACAAGGAATTCTCAGTCCCGGCTCGGGCAATATATTTAAATTTTTTTTGTTTGAAAGAGCGTGTCGCTATGCAGACCACTACAGAGTCCTTTTTTAATTAAGCTTTGTTTTTTATTATATATACAGACACTTATGTGACTGGACACCCATTTTTGGCGCGTTTTTTGGGCCATTGGACTTGTGATTTCCTTTCTCCGCTAAAAAAGTAAGAATCTTAAAAAAGAACTCTGTAGTGCTCTGCATCCTGACATGCTCTTTCTAACAAAAAAAATTTAAAATATGTTGGATGGATCCGGACTGAGAAATCCTTGTACCAAAATGACCTATTTTTGACCCTTGTTTGGTAAATATCTCAGTCAAACGTTGTGGTATCGAGCTAAAAATTTTACCACAGCCTACCCACGTCCCAACATATGCTCCAAATTTCAGCCCATTTGACCGTACCTGGGTTGAGATCGATTTTTGAGTGGGGGAGGGGCCTTAAAAATCTAATTTCAAGTAGTCACGTTCATCGTGCAGCTCTTGTTTGAGACGAACGATAGTTTGCGGTTCTGTACCTGAATAATACCATTTAGTGGTCACGATTTGGTGTGCACCAGTCCCAGTTCCGACTAGATACACAGTCGGACTACACTGATGCATACCTAGTCACGATAAATAAAAAGAAATTAACTGATTCACTTAATCTTTACCGAAAGTGTCCGTTTCATCACATAGATTTCGAAGTTGATCAAATGCTGTTGAACCATCACATGAAAAGTTGTCTAAACGGGCCAAATTCTTTCGCGTCGAGGCGCCACATTTCTGAAGAATAGCAAACAAGGATGAAGGAGCAAGCGGCGTGAATTCATTGGCATCGGTTGTTTCCTTGCAATCGACGAGATACTGCGATACAATTCGAGACGGTATAATATTTCGAATAATATCTGGTACAGAGATCTCCTCATTGCTTAATTTCAGTTTTCGTTCTCCAAAAGGCATATCTGTTGTTATACGCGGTGACTGGATAAAAGTTATGAAGTGAGTTAGCTGTTCCTCTGTGTACCGTTGCACAGGAGCTCGTATGATTTCCGGAATCACACCTCGACCTGTATATAAAACAGTGACACTTACTGCAATTATAGTTCTCAATTACCCGAAAAATACGCCAGAGCACGTGCAGCTTTTAATTTTTCACCTCGTTAGACCTGGAAATTCGAATTTGAGCAAAGTTGTTGGTAGATCAGCAGCTACGATTGACAACAGTTGTCTTTTGGTCGACCAATGTTCGGCTCTGTAGTAAGCATCTTTCAGAGAAGGGTGTGGGTGGGTGTGGGTGTGGGGTGTAGAGTGTGGGTGTAGGGTGGGTGTGGGTGCAGGGCGGGTGTGGGTGTGAATGTGGGTGGGTGTGGGTGTGGATGTGGGTGTGGATGTGGGTGTGGATGTGGGTGTGGATGTGGGTGTGGATGTGGGTGTGG